TATATATATATATAATCTTTTGAATTTCATATTGCATTGCGTTGTTTTAGAAAAAAAATGTTTTGAATTATAAAAATATATTATTTTTTTTAAATGTTTCTATTATTTTATTTTATTTATTATGCATTACATTGTGCTTTGTTTTAACAATTATTTCATTATTTTTTAGTATATTTTTAATTTCTTATATTTTATGATTTACGGATTGCAATGTTGTGTGTTTTAGCGTAGGAGAATGTCTACAACATTTGTGTTGTTCTTGTAGTTGTTTTCCCCTAAAGTGTAACTGGTTTGATTCAGACAGATGAGTTTGTCTGTGATTAATTAAAGCTAGCTCATAAGAGTCATCCGTTCATGAATCACACTACAGTGGTCATGTTGTAGATTTCATTTCATGCAACCAGCGATGGCACTGCAATAGAAAGATGTGTTGTGCATTTATTTGTTTGGCTGTGTTTCTTTTTGCCGAGGTGTTGTAGATTCCGCAGCGGCACAGCAAACTCTGTCAGAGTTTCATTACTGAGTTCAGTCTGCATTGGTGGATTAATTCACATGCAAAAACTGTGAATTCCTCCATTCACCGCCCACGTGCTCACAGTTTAGTGGATGTGATCAGCTTCGGTTGTGTCAGTTTTAATGTGAAGTTTGATGTCTAACTTGATACAAGTGTCAAACTCATGTCTAATTGCATGTGTCTTGATTTATGCTTTAACTCTGCTAATAGCCTAGTTAGCAGAAGTGCATTTTCCATTTTGGTTAACACATTTTTGTCATAATCTGAAATATGAATGCTTGTAGAAGTATCGCTAACACATTTGGGGTGTGTAATGAAAGAATTATGTCGGAGCCGCGAGCAGCTCGACTTTATCCATCTTTTATCTGGCCATCTCATTTTGAATATTCTCTCTGAAAGCTCTCTGTAGGTAATGGTCTTTGATGCTGCACGTCATTACGCTGCATAAAACATCCCATCGTGATGACAGTATGTCAGGTCGCAGCGGAGAGTGGTTATCTGTGCCTTCTTGATCTGGATAAAAGTCTTGTGCTGTTGGTTTGCTATCAGGTTGTTGTCTTTGAGATGTTTGGAGAAGATGGATTTGATGGCTGTTGATGGAAAGATCTGCTCAGGGGCGAGCAGCTGAAGGCGAGAAAACATCTGATGAAACAGTCTCACACAGACAGACTTTTGACTGTTGTCATAAGGTCTTGTCCACTTTGGAGCTTATTCTGACCAAAAGCTGCCCGCTTAAACAGGAAGATACGTAAGCCTGTTTCTACATGTAAGAATAAACTTATATCATGCACTGGTAAGTCATAATTATGAGATAAAAAGTCAAAATTATATATATAAAAAAAAAAAGCCTATGAGATGCAAAAATTGTGGCATACACAGCATCAGAAATATGTGATGCAAAGTCATAATGATGAGATAAAAAGTCAAAATTATGAGATACTAAATCACAATTATGAGATAAAATGCAAAAACAGGCATACAGAAATTATGACACACACAAAGTCAGAAATATGAGATATAATCATAATTTAAAATTTTTTGAGTTAAACAGTCAAAATGTGGCATGATTATGGCTTTTTATATCAGTTTTAACTTTTTATCTCATAATTTCCACTTCTTATGTCATGATTGTGGCTGTTTATTATTATTATGACTTATCTTATAATTTAGACTTTTTTTCTCATAATATTTACATTTGGTCAATTGTGAGTTTTTATTTCATAAATATTACATGCAATATCACAATTTTGACTCTTTATATCATTTTTTCTTTTTATTTCCCCATTTTATGTCATATATGTATTTTTCATTTTGTCATCATTTCAATGATTTACCAAAGGATCATTTTTTATATTAATTATAAATTTTTGCATAGCTTTCATAGGAAGAGACCAGCTGACTGGAAAAAAATAAAATAAAATATATATATACTTTTTTTTATTTTTTACAGAAAACAAAGAAGAAAAAAAGCTGTACGATGAGCATGTAATGGAACACATCATTTTATTTTTTATTGTTATTTAATTTACTGCACAGCATCTTTTTTAATGAGCTTGTGGTGCAATATATATATATATATATATATATATAAAAAAAAA